ATATATATATATATATATATATATATACATTTTTATGTGACAAACTCAAACTGATGCGTTTGTTCAGCCGACCATCTGCTGAGGTGTCTCTGCAGGGACCTATTCTTCATTAAACGTTAAGTTTATTATGAAAACCAAAGGCTTGTTCAGTATAAGTGCACGTGGTTTTGTGTGCACGTGGTGGGAGCTGCTGCAGACACATGATCCCTCAGCCTCATGAAGATGACAGAAATCAGAAGTAGCACATTGTGCTTCTAGGTCGAGCCTAAATAAGCACACAGGTGTCTTATGGTTAGTTGGAGCGTTGTTATCGGGCGTCATGAGTGTCTGTGGTGAGAGACGTCACCTGACACGACACTGTTCAGTCCTGTCTCACACTTTCTCTGCTTTGAGGAGGAAAACAGAAAAATATTAATAAAAGCAGCTGGATTTAATATTTACTGTACTTGTAAGCTCCGGGAACTGGAGAGAAGCAAACACACATGTGCAGATTAGTCTGTATGGTAAGCTATTTTATCATATAATAGCTGGAGCAGGCTCTTCAAAGCAGATATCCATAGATCTGTTCTGCTTAATTAAATATTCAGAATAGTTCCTTAGACATTTTTTATTTCCACCCATTTTAGCAGCAGATTTCCATAATTATGTGTTTCCTGTTTAGAATAAAAACTGACAAAGGTTTAAAGAAGGGAAAACGTTCATGTCTTATTGTTACTAGTGCCCATGGTTTCATTATAAATATATTAGCTGAAAGCCCCTTCAGGTGTTCAGCTTGTTGTAAATGTGGCCTGTAACGTTCCCACTGCACCACAGTCCCGGAGCAGCTGCTCGTTGCCTCTGGGTTTCTCTCAGTGAGCAGAAAACCCTCCGAGCTGCTTTGGATTGATTGAACTCACAGAGAAGAGTCTGGATTTAAAGGAATCTGACGTGTCATGGCCGCCTCCGTGCGCTAACACACAAACTGTGGGCGGGACCAAACACTCAGAGCCCACCAGAACTCGTCTCTACTAATTAGTTCCCTGCAAGCTGGGGAACTTCACACACCTTCAAGAAATGAGCATTTACCACACACACACACACACACAGGTTTGTTTTGCTATCTTTGTGGGGCCTTTGCATTGACTTCCATTCATTTTTCATTCATTTCTATAGCCTAACCATGACCTTTATCCATAACCTAACCATTACCAGTACATACCTAACCCTAAACCTAACACATCCCCAATTCACACCTTAGTCCTAAACCTAGCCC